TGCCTTTATATACTCCTTGGGTGACAATAATCTTACGCTACTTCAACCCAAATCAAGGGCATAGCCACTACCAATCTCAGTTAATAATCATGTACTACCATGTGATAAAATAAATAATTACCAACATCCAAATGTATCAATTGAAATCAATCTCTTTAAAAAATCTAAATCTAAAGGAGCACGTATTTGATTTAAAAGATCCTTTATGGATGAAACTTTGAAAATGTATCCCTTGTTATGGAAAATCAATACGTTCAAGCAATACATGCTTGGACATGATTCTTTCTTCAATAGGGATACAAAATGCGGATCCCCACCTTTAAAACAATACCCATGAGTATATCTGTTATAGCCAATACAAGATAGTCAGAAAATGACCTCTTCTAAGAAGATGTAGCAGGTATTTCGTTTAATTGTTTTATCCTAAAAGGATGTTACATGTCAAATCATAGGTTTGTAATCACTGTATGGGATAACAAGTGGTGTCACAGATTTGTGGAGAGCTGCTTTTGCTGCAGCACAAGTCATTGTGTTACCTCTTCTGCCCACGTGATTAGGCAACCCAACAAAACACAATGTTGGACTGACCAGTTAAAAGATTATGTAAAGTTCTAAACTATGTGAAATAATTAGATGAGACGAAGATACAATTTTCGGTGCCTGGAGACAAGATCGAGTATCAGAAATGATGAGAAAATGTTCAGATGCAGACTGTCGTTGAAGGTATACAAAGATTGTACAGATAGTATTAGCTATAATATTCCATTTATGTCAGATCTTTTTGACTTAGTGAGTGAAAGGTTTACTTAAGGCCTGACTAATTGCCAAAGAGTAGACAGAAGCCAGAATTGAGACATTACATCAAAGTTAATATCAGCATCGGCAACATGAGGCTTGATCCAAATCCCACGTGGGATGATACAAGCTTAGGCTTGTTTTGAAACAGGCTGATCAGCCTCCACCACATACAAAATATCAACAGAAGATGTTCTAAAAGTTCCAAGACAGAGCCTCAGTCCTTGATGGTGTATGCTATCTAATGTCTCTAAATTACTTGAAGAAGTCTTTGAAAGGCATTTAGGAGTAATGCACATAAGAAAGAGAATTTATGGATGTCAACAATTTATTATGAGGAACATTACGTTTCGGACTTTATGCTTACACCTTCATCAGGTGAATAAATGTTATAATTATAAGGCAGAGAACATGTACATGTACCTGAAAGAACAACAAAAGTAATAAGATAACAAGGGTGGAAACTTAACAAGGGGAGCAAACAGATAATAGACAGCTGATAAGTGATCAGGAATAGGCAAATGGAAGCCAACACTTAACAGTAAATTGTGCTAAAAGTTGAAACAGTTGGACAATTGGAAGGCAGGCCTAATTGGTAATAGACAATTGGCAAACGGGAGGCCGGGGATAATTAGCTATGATTGGTAATAGAGTGGAGACTGCGATTGGCAAATGGAAGCCAGCTAGATAATTGGCACCGATAATGAAAAAAGCAATCAATCCAAAATTGACATTTTAAAATTATCTTCTTTACTATAGGAGCTCTGCCATGTACAGTTGAACGATAGTCTATTTTTTGCGGTATCATCAACTGAGTAAGTCGGGTTTAATGCCGCTTTTAACAGTATTCTAGTTATATCACGGCGTGTCAGTTTAATGTGGGAGGAAAGCTCGAAGGGATGCAGGTCTCAGACGTTTACCAATTCGGTGAAACCAACGGGCACGGGTATGGTGCTGACAAACCTAGAAACATAATCGGGGCGAACTGGGATTCGAACCCACAATCATAGGTTTCTGGCGTGCCCACGGGACGGAACTCTGCACAGCGAATAGCGGCGCCTCAGACGACTGGGCCATTCGTGTCCCCTATCATCTTCAAAGAAACAATCATTCGTGCAGTGATTTGTTTTATCATAAAAGAACACTTTGTAATTTAACGCATTACATCAGTGTTTGGTAATAACTATGATCTTTTCCCATTTGTGTATTGAACAAATATGTTAATAAATTTTCCTTGCGATCCAATGGGCATTCAGTTGAACCTGGTCGTATATCAAGCTTTTCCTCCTTGTCATCTCCTCCTCTTCAACACTAACCTCCCATACCTCAACTGACATTATTTACCCACAGTCTCACTGTCATATTCACCTTGCCTTGTATATTGTATATATTCCTTCTTCACAGTATCCACACGCAATTAGACAACCCATGCATTGACGTACCATACACCACACCCGCACATCCACAATAAATTACCCCGTGTCAGTCCCCACGGTTGAAAGTGCATCATCACCTCAATCAGATTCTACGTATACAGCCAGCGTGATATGAAATACATGTCAACCAGTTGTAGTTTGGGCTTCAAAACACAGCCTCAGTCTTATCAAATGTATACCCAAAACATTTTCATTCAATCCAGATTAGCAATATTTGGATCACATCTGTTTTGAGGACTTGTAAGTATTGTATAAGTTATGTGAATGAGAACGAAAGAAAGTTATAGGAATGTTCACATGTATGTAAGATATGTTATCCGTATGTTTTGTAAAGGTTTCATCTCAAACATTCATGATATCGATATGGCCATGCTCTTTTACTATAATACTATAGGCCATACTATAATGGCATTGCGTGTAATGCATGCCAAAGATATGTATTGTATTTATGATGGCGATGGAAGTTATGATTGAACTATACTGATACAAGATATGTTTGAAGTATTTCAGAAGAGAAGTGTGTGTGTGTGTGTGGGGAGGGGGGGGGGGGGGGGGGGGGTGTAAGCTAGAAGAATGAAGTTTCGGAACAAAGGAGATACATTTAGCTGTTATCAAATTACACATTTTGTGTTTATATAATGTTTTCCTGATTGTGACACTGTTCCACATTGATCTTTTTGCTTAATCTAAATGTATGTCTAATGTGTTTGTAATATTTTAGATGCAACATGCACAACATGTTATATGTAACCACTAGTTATTGTGTGATTCCTTATTTCTAATTTTTGCGGTATAAAAATCTTAATTTCCCTTGTATTTTGAGTTACATTTTCTGCCGTAACAATAAAACCACTTGGGCCTTGGGTGCAAGTAACACTTCTTCTTAACGGATCAACAGTGTACATTATCATGAGGGTCATATTAATTACGTTCATTAATATACTAATCCGCTATATCAAATTAAAGAGTATTGAGAAATATGCTCGATAACCACCGAGGTAGGAGTCTCACTCGGGTATAAAAGCGGAATCTAACATACCCCCTGAGAGACACCCGACCGTACTGCACCGTCGGTGCCCCGAGTTAAACTTCAAAGACAAGAGTTGCTGTCCGGCTATGCCTACAAAGAGCAAGTAACACACCAGTTGGTTTGATCTGAAGTCTGTTTTAACTACATAGATTGGCGTCTTTGCAATTTATATCCCGGTAGAATATAATACCCTCTGTATTTAGATCTGGTGTATCTGTGTATAAGAACTGAGAATTGTTCTTTATTGCTGCTTGATTATTTATATTGACATGTTGGACTGACTCAGACTGTGTGAATCAAGCCGATGATTGCTTACACTAATCCTTAATACTTGTTATAGGATTTGTCTCTGGGTATTTTCAGTTGTATGATCTAAGTCACCTTAATTGTGTATTAACCAAATACAATCTGAGGACGTTATAACTAAACACGGTAACCTTCATATAAACAAATCGCATGGTATTTGAAACACTGTTAACATATATGTATGGTAGTCCTAATTTTGTGATTACTTATATGTTTGTATGTGAAGGTTATATATTTTCAAAATGATAAAACATTTACAATAATGTATCCGGGAAAAAAATCTACCAAATGCCATCTGAGATGATATTGAATCTTCTACAAAAAAATTACTTTTAGTTAGGTCATCACCATTATACGTCAAATATATGCAAGCCTGAAAGGCAGGAGTCAATTGTAGATGAACAAGTACAGAACAACCGTTACTGTCAGAGGCCAGTCGAATACCTAGCAGCTGGGTAGGTCTGTGACTATTGTCGCTCCACGCACTGCTGTACTGGGTAGGTCTGTGACTCATGTCGCTCCACGCACTGCTGTACTGGGTAGGTCTGTGACTATTGTCGCTCCACGCACTTCTGTACTGGGTAGGTCTTTGACTATTGTCGCTCCACGCACTGCTGTACTGGGTCGGTCTGTGTGACTATCGGATGGTCTGCAGTGATATTGAAATGTGTGTATTGGTCCCAAAGGCGGCAAATGGTGCTGTGGTGGACGTTGAAGTGGCGTGCAACAGAAGACTGCGCTCCCCCTCTTTGTATACGTCCTATGGCGATGTTCCGATCGGCAGCGTTGAGTTTCGACATTTTCGAACTTGACAAATGTTGACAATTGAATGACAAATTATTGGCTTATGCTTACCTTTTTATAGCCACTGCCACGAGATACGAATGCCACAATTTGCACGTGCATTTTAATTTACTTTTTCCTCAATGACATTTTTGAACAAGTGTGAAAACAATGCCGTTTAAGACATTGCAAATCGACAATGTCTGCGTTTGGACGCACCGTTTATCGCACCGTTTGTAGGATATCAGGCCACCAACATTTTCCAACAACATATATCCAATCTTTAAACTGGATTTTTTGTGTAGTCAGGTTCAATGAACTACATACTACCTGTGCGTTTCTTTTTTTGAAGAGTGTATGTTCACCTATCCAGCAATATTCTTGGTATCGATCTACTTCCAAAACATGGATTGAAAGTGTCAGGACTCAGGTGCAGTTTTTTTGTTTGTTTGTTGTTTAACACCGCCCTCGGCAAGATTCCAGCTGTGAGACAGTGGTTTGTAAATAATCGCGACTGGACGAGGCCATCCAAAACTTTAAAAAACTCAACCAAAACAACAACAAAAGAAACCATTATCTTAATAATAATATTAGTCAAGTGTTGTCTTACATTCCCAATTTCCGAACAGAAATTGTAAGGTTGTAATGAATTTACTTTCTGTCCATTTATTGTTTTATAACATACATGTACATCCAAACAGACAGGAACAAGCGTATTTAATAACAAGACGAATAAGAAATTAAGAACATCATTTGTAAAAAAACTGGTTTGCAGTGAGTGGATTAGTGTGAAATTGGGTGAAATGGGGTTTAACGTCAAGAAAGTGTTTCTACGAATCCACCTGTAAGTGGGCTTGTACTGTCGTCAGCCACATTACTAGATACTATAACTTCCAAAAGCAATTTAAATGTTGGTCCAAACACCAACGATTTCCAGGCGCATCAGATGCAACTGAAATCTACTTCTGACAGACAAAGTGTACCTCAAACGGATCTGTGCGACTCAAAGACTCATTTATGATGGTGAAACCAGCTTTAGCAACCATCTCTCTTGCCAAAGGTGCCCCCCACGTTGCCCCAAGTGCTGCAGAATCAGGCTTGCGGTAGCTTTCCGGAATACAGAAGAAAGTGCTTGCCGAGTAGAAGAACATCACTGAAGGATCAGCAATGTTGGCAGTTACGCCTCCCTCTATTCCAACATCAATCAAGCTGAAAATACCCCCTGGTTTCAGACACCGGTAAATCTCGTTTAAGGCATCCTGTGGATATGTCAAGTCGTGAATGACATCGCGGGTTAGTATCCAATCAAAACTCTCCGCATATCTTTTAGATATGGTCTCAATATTATCTGTGTCATAGGTGATATTCTGAAGGCCTTGCCTGGTTGCATCTTCTCTGGCTTCAACCAATGGCTCGCTTGCTATGTCCGAACCAAGGAACGTGCTGTTCTTGAATCTTGATGCCAATTGGTTTAAAATGTAACCTGTTGCGCATCCAAATTCGGCAACCTTGATTCCCGATTCTGTAAAATACAAATTAAAGCGAATGAATTAACTCTAGAGGCATATTTTTGGGGGATGGCATGCACGAGACGGGTGAAATAATGCCGACTATAAATTATAACTAACTAAATTTGGATCCATTGGGGAATTCTAACAAATCTGGTACTATTCTTGTAAGGAATATGACAGGTAATTTTAGGGGACATAAACTTGGCAAATAATATAACGATACATATTCATTTGGTTATCACAATTATCTTTGGGGGCGGTCGGGTAGCCTAGGGGTTAAAGCGTTCGCCCGTCACGCCGAAGACCCGGGTTCGATTCACGACATGGGTGCAATGTGTGAAGACCATTTTTGGTGTCCCCCGCCGTGATATTGCTGGAATATTGCTAAAAGCGGCATAAAACCATGCTCACTCACTCACTCAATTATCTTTATGTGATTTTTGTTTAACGCCGTACTTGGCAATAATCGAGCTATATACTAGGCCTGTAAATAATCGAGTCTGGACCAGACAATCCCGTGATTGCTTTAAGTGAACAACGATCAAGGCCTTCGGCCAACTGTGACACGCTATCACTAAAGTCACGTCATCAGCTCTTACATGCAGTATGGGTTGCTGGGAACCTTGTCTGACCCGGTTGGTTGGTTGGTCTGCAATATTGACCCGGTGTCTCCAGGGGGTTAGCATATTGACAAAAACGCACTTTTTTTACCGAGGAAGTAATACCCCACCTTATGACATGGAGCATGGTGGTATAGCCTCGTGGCGAAAGCGTTAACGCTCTATGTCATGATTCGCTGTCTTACACGAATACAATATGTGATATTACTAATGCCTCAGTCACATATACAACAGTCGCCGGACGATGTGGGGGCGTCGATGGGTTTCACCGATGCCCCGGCGTGCCACAGATTTTTGCACACATCTGTGACACTTCGGTGCAGTAGTCATGAAACCAATGGCTGGCTTGTACCGTCCAGTGACTGGCCGGTCATCTGGCGGGAATCGGCCCGTAATCGCCCGATACCCGGACGGTGCCCATCCGATGTAAACCAAATCGTCCCGTGCCCATGCGGGCACCGATCGATGCCCGGATGAACACCGTCCGTTTCCCGCTTGCTGTTAAAGGAGCCCGCTCAGTGCCCGGCCGTTCATAGTTCGTGTTCGCCATCAAACTTGCTGGAAGAACTGTATCACATTTCGGTTGATTTTGTAAATGTGTGGAGCTTCGGGCACTAGCGTACTGCATACGGAGCCAGGCCAGTCTCAGTGTGTGAAGACATTCTATGCATTCTCATCCCATTCAGCCCATTAAATACACTCCGGAACAGGCACGTCAACATTTCCGGTGTCCGATGAATGATACCCGCTGGGCGCCTGCTCGATGCTTGCCCGGACTCCGGTTGGACTTGGCTTAATCGTCCGGTCACCGGAGGGGAACATTCCGAGTATTGACTGATTCCGAGCAGATGATCTTTCGGCTAACCTCCGATGACCATACCACACCCGCGCACTGCAAAATTTGTCCGATTCCCTCGCGGTCTGGCAGGTGGTTTAAAATGGCATGCAGACTTTGAACGACATGGAACTTCTCTCGGGGGCAAACTGTGAAGTAACACGATTGATTCATCCACTCAATTATATGTTGTTTACAAACGTAGTCAACAATGGATACCTTGTAATTTAGGTTTTGTCATGAAACAAATTTGTATACATGATGCAAATTTCATAAAGCACTTAATATTCTAGGTGAAGATAAATGTAAACAAATGTAAATGTACATAGGTAAGCTGTGGTGTATTTCCTACAAAGAGAAACTGGAAGCAACTGGTTAATAAGACCATTTATTAATATGAAGCAAATATGTGGCGCAGAAAAGTTTCTGTCAGTACATGTACAGGTTTTTCACGCTTCATGTTAATACGCAAAGCTTACTCACAATATAGTATGGCAACTAGCATATCTGATCCCAGAACAGAGGTCAAGTTTAAAATTTTGTGTTAGAGTTTCATCACGAAACAAAACTTACAGGGACTGTTTATTGTGTAACAAGCATGCCTTTGATTATCATAATCACATCATTACATTGTGAAGCTACGCAGGAAAGAAATGAACTGTTTTCAACTTTTATTGATCTGCTTGATGTTGAAACCTATGTCCAGTTAGAATACAATATGAGTGAGAGAGTGAGTGAGCGAGTTGGGTTTAACGCCGCTTTTAACAGTATTCCAGTTATATTACGGCGTGTCAGCTTAATGTGGGAGGAAAGCCCGAAGTGATGCAGGTCTCAGACGTTTACCACTTCGGGGAAACCCACGAGCACGGTATGGTGCTGACAAACCTAGAAACATAAGAATACAATATGAAGAAGATATGTTATCATTTATCTTTGGTGCTGATACTCACTTCTAACAATGTATTGATATAGTTACATGGGAATCTGTTTCACTGATATTTTCTGCTATTGTTCTTACACTAAAGCCTTATCTTGATTATCTCAACTGATCTAACCTTTTGTACTGTGTGAATGGCATGACACTGGTGGTACTGTCTAGTATTGTATTTATGTACAGGTAATATGAGTTTGTGTGAATACGTTTGATTAAGTATGTATAATCTTCGGATTAACTTCTGGAGGAAACTCTCTCTCTCTCTCTCTCTCTCTCTCTCTCTCTCTCTCTCTCTCTCTCTCTCAATCGACAAAACAGCCGAACAAAGGGACTCAGTCAGGCCTTTCAAATTCCATGTGTACAAAATGAGTACAGACGAATACTGTCCACTGTACTTTAGGTAGAATAAGTGTTTGTTTATTCTTTAGTGCCGCATCATCAATATTCCAGCTATACACCGGTCTGTAAATAATCAAGTCAGGACCAGACAATTCAGAGGTTAACGTAATGATCATCGATCTACACAATGGGGATACGATGACATACATCAACCAAAACGGCAAGCCACGCCACCACTCTTACAGGTGGACTAGATGAGCAGATGTGAGGAGATTTAACTATGAGGATCGCTGATAGCAATATAGTGACTCTATATGGCGATGTTTTGTTGCCCCCAGAATATCCAAAACATTTGTAAAAATAAACTTACGCCTGTTGAGGTTGTGATACCAACGGAATTTTATATGGCCTATCATCAACATCTGTGGCAATATTTCTGACACTCGTGTGGTATCAATGCACCTAGAAATATTAAAGCAATAACACATGCGCCTGAGCCCGGGACACAAGTTTGATGTGAAATGCTAAGCCCGTTTAATATCTTATAATTGTACTGAGACATAATCACATATTTGAAGTGTTTTGACCTGCCCATTTTACTCACCTAATTTGGGCAGCAGGGGAGACACCGCAGGCAAGATATCTGTGTCGACCATATCTTTCTTGGTTACGACCAAAATCTCTTTCATCACCTCAAACACAGCATCAGACTGATTGTAAGCCATTCCTGTAATTAAAAGCAGAACATTACTCGAAGAAAAGACATAACTGAAACCCTGTGATACGATTTGTGTCCTCTCTCGGGACCAAACCAACGGTGATAATGAGGGAGACATGCGTTTGAGTCTTCTTTCAATGGCTGCCGTGACTAGCTCCACATATACAGATGACGTCATCACACATTACAGAACAGAACATTATTCACACCAGGATACATAGCATATAGCATAATGAGGTTTTATATATAGGTTGTCAATATATGGCGGCAGATTACATAATATTATAGTTAAGCTTACTGATTATTTCACAGGAAAACCTAGAAAGTTTCTTTACTATAATGATATTTTTACTATTTAATACATTTATCATATTGAACATAGAAGGGATCTTTAGACAGTATAATGGCAAGTGTGTCTTTCTCATATCTACAATATATTTGCAAACAAATAAATAGAGATATTTGTCTCCAATATCATTGGATTGGTGGTTTGAAAGTCTAAATTGAATTACAGTAAAAATACATTTATTGGCCACTCTGAGAGGCATTTATCAAACTACCACTTGCATGTGCATGTAAGTTCAAGACAGAATACATGTTGATCATATATTCAGTCAAATATTCATGCCGAGAAAAATACATTATTACAGGGACAATTCATAAATATATAGTGTATATTTATCAAACCAATTTTCACTGCAGCATAATAGTTTTAGATAATAATCTAATGGAATGAAACATTATAGCCATGGCTCGCCATGTGTTGACGGGTATAGTCTCATGAAACTCCTATTAAGGGCCACAGAACATAACATCTTTTTGGCAGGCGTTTTTAAATTAAATATACGCGATGTATCTGCGAATTGTTGGCAATGTATCCACTTATCCTTGCAAAACAAAACGTTTGCTTGTAGTGTGTACAGTCATGACTCGTTTTGCGGACACTTGCGTCATGTCCCAATTCGTCCGTATAAACGAATGTCCGTATAACTGAAACCAGCTTCTTACTGGAAGAGTTACTTCCCTACAATTATGCAACTCATGACAGATGACAGAGCAAACAGATACATCCACTCAATCTTTATTCAAGACATACACGTTTAAAAAATGCTGTCATGGAAGTTTGAACTTTACCACATTTTGAGGTATATCTGAAGTCCGTATAAGCGGGGCATGACTGTACATTGTTCCAGGTGAAAGAGAATTTGCGGTTGATTTAGAACCTTTGAAAGGTAAAGTACAGCTGTCTATGCACATGTGTGACTCGCTTAACTATGTGAATAGATCTTCAACATATCTGTCTTCCATACACAGCCGAAGTAGGTTAAATCAATACGTATGGAGACGTATGGAGCTATAGCGACCCACACCACAACCACGAGGGTTATTTTTAGAATATGGATTAAAATTTGAAGTCAAAGGTCATTGTGCTTTTTTTCTGTCACCAACTGTTGGACCAAACGTTTGATATAGGTATAACAGATAGGGATATCTGTACAATCATCCACATAATTTGTTGCTTTAAGCGGTCTGACTGATGGGAGGACACCGTTCTGCAGTCGTGATGGTAAAGTTGGTTGGTTGGTTTGGTGTGCACTCAGCATTATTCCAGCTATATGACGGCGGTCTGTAAATAAACCGTCGAGTCTGGACCGGACAATCCAGTGAGTAATATCATGAGTATCGATCCACGTAACTGGGATCGATGACATGCATCAAACAAGTCAGCGAGCCTGACCACTCGATCCCGTTAGTCGCCTCTTACAAGCACAGTTTGCTGAAGACCAAATCTAACCCGGATCCTTACGAGTTAGGTAGTAGAGTTGTGAATGTGTAGGCCCTGTCAATATATACTTTGTATTTCAGCGTTTGAAAAAAAACAATGACCGTATAGTCGCCTTTTACGGCAAGCAGGGGTTGCTGAAGATCTATTCTACCCCGGATCTTCACGGGTCTGATGGTAAAGTCTAACAAAACTTATCAATTAGTTAATTGACTGTCCTAATAGGTTTTCCGACACGAGACCAGATAAAATGGATACCAAAACAGGAAAATAAAAAAAGGTTTATTTTTAAGGAAATTATGCAAATACACATAAATAGTATTTTTCAGTTTATGATATACCTTTTCTGTGCTGTTGATCAGCGAGTGAGTGAGTTGGGATTTACACCGTCCTCAATATTAATTTTATTCGAATATCAAATTTCAAATGTTTGTAATATTTATCGTTGTCTCAGTATGGACAAGTTTATTTCATATCACAGGTGAAAGAATCACAGTCATATTCACTCGTGCATCACTTTCTGAGCATCAGACCATACAATTTCATGATTTGAATGGAGGCTACATGGAACTATAGGCACGTTAGGAAGACGTCGACCGATAGACAGCTGGTACGTAAGAAAACATAGTCAGTATCGAAGTTCTCAGATGTTTACAACTTTAGTGAAACCAGCGAGCACGAGTATGGTGCTGACAAAGCTAAAAACGTTGTCAAGGTGAACCAGGATTCGAACCCACGATCAAAGCATTCTGACATGACTAAGGGAAGCAACCTGAGCAGCTAATTATGGCGCCTTAGACGACTGGGCGACCCGTCGCCGCTGTAATTTGGAACTATTTTGTACTATTTTATCCTTCAAATTTAAGCCACAGTTCCACCTGTTCCGCCATTACTGCAGCGCGTGTTCGGAAGTTTTTGTTTCGATAGGTCAGTTTGACTAATTTTGGAAACTGGAGAGCTGTGTATAACTCAATGAATGTAGTGTCCTTACCGCCAGGGTTTTGTGGTTGAGCACATTTCTTGATATTCTCATATCTTGCACCCATCAGTGGAATAACTCTGGCAAACGCAGATATTTCATCCAATGTGCCCTTGTTGTCTTCTGGAACATGGAACTTGGTGGAGGAGTCGTCGACGCTGATGACTTTCCCGACAGCCAGTGCACCCAGGATCTCACGCACGTACCTGTGGACAAAAAGATATTTATAATGTGTCTATTTATTTAATACAAACATGATCAAAGCGCATGATCATATTACTGTTGCAGTGTGAACATGTTAGGGTGGGATTCACTGGGAATTACAAACTCCTGGAACTATTTACTATGGGTGTGGAATATTGTGCACAGTCCGGCGCAGTGGTGACTCAGCATAACACCACTGCCACAGGCTAATTTGTATATCACGTGACCGGACGTTTCCCTTGTTTGTTAACAAACGCGCTTTTTCAGAAATCTGTATAGAACCGACGAATGCAAGTATTTGGGGGCGCTGAACATATTGTTTTGCATAATTATATAGATTTGCTACTACAACTGCGACAGTGAATTTCATGACAATATATACATCAAAGTGGCCGTATTGCTAGCTCTCCGTTAGGCTTCGATGTAACCGTTCTTTGACATTTGTTGATGAAAATGTGAAGACTTGTCAAACATGAAACGAATGAAAAGCATATGCAATATCTTGAATGGACTGTGAAAAATGTGACGAATCGTCACATGGCGATGGCTGGTCCTGCACCATGACCATGGAATATATAAATTTTATGAAAAAATAATAATCTAGAAACGCACACAAAAGGAAGTCTAGCCAGCTCAAGCTAGCTCTATTCCACATCAGCATAGGGAATGTTTTTAATTTTTAGAGTCAAGAAGGCTATTGTGTAATATATGATTTCAGAGAATAAATGTTCCTTTAGGCGATGGCCTGTGGCAGAGGTACTATGCTGGCTGGCTGCCGGCCGCATGGCACTCTGGGTAGGAGAGTAGAGTATTGTGGTGATGAGTAGACGTTGTAAGAAGGGATTGAGTAGTGTTGTATCAGGACAAGCTGTGTCCCGGACGACTGGGGAAAAGGTGAAATGGGGTTTTAATTAAGTCGCGTTTAAGATTATTGCACTCATACAGGGGCGTGTGTGCGCGTGTGCGTGCGCGTGTGCGCGGCTGCTTGTGACGAGCGCCCGTTTTATTATGCAAACTCCTTAATATACCAAACTGTAGTTTATACTGACTCCGAGCCGACCAGTCCTTGTTTTATCCTCTTATACCGACCGCCAAGAACAATAATCTTTTAAAGTCTTTTAATATGACGCGACCAGGGATCGAAGTCCGAACAATCTACCCTCCGCTCCCTGGGCAACCCGGCCAAATAGTATAAGTCTGTATTTGGTTGTTTGTTTTTGTATTAAACTGCGCACTCAGCAATATACCAGCTCCGCCCTCAGCAATATCCAGCTCCGCACTCAGCAATATACCAGCTGACCCTTGAAGATCCGGGGTAGAATAGCTCTACAGCAACCCATGCTTGCCGTAAAACTAGGCTCGTCGTCAGAGGCGACTAACGGGATCGGGTGGTCAGGCTCGCTGACTCCGTTGATGCATGTCATCGATCCCAATTGCGTGGATCGATGCTAATGATAACAATCACTGGATTGTCTGGTGCAGACTCGATTACTTACTGACCGCCGTCATATAGCTGGGATATTGCTGAGTGTGGGCGTTAAACAACAAACAAACAAACAGACGTTAGCAGTTGGACAGGTTGTATTACAAATGTCGATGACGTTGCTAGTTTGACAATGCCTAATCGTTACATGGCTTACCTTTCTCTTAGGTTCAGCTTGTCAGCCATCTGCTGTGATGTGAGAGGGTCTTTGGCTTCCATCAACATCTTCACCAGGCCCAAATCCCGTGCCAGGGATAAGGTTGTCATGACACCAGTTGCGCCGAAAAAGTTCATCATCATCTTGCTGTAGTCCGACATCGTCTCAACTGTAGCAGTGCTTGCGTTGAACCTGGCATATATGTGTTACTGGTACAATTCACATATTGATCCTTTCACAAAATAGGCCAGTTTATTACATTGTTGAAGATGCATTTTGATTCAAACTCAATTAAATGAGCAAAACTATACATTTGTGGACATTTGAGATCATAGATATGCACGTTTCGTTTTATTATTCTGCAATCCATTTTTAGTATTGGTCGCTTTTCTTGGCAAGCACCCAGTTTCAGCTATGTGATCGTAGGTTTGCAAAGCATAATAAATGTCAAACTGTTTTTTGCTTTTATTGACTGTCGCTGGTCTTACAGTTAAAATATCGCAACATAATCTCCGCACACACACATTCTTTGCTTCACGCAACGTGCAACGTTTCAGCTGACGGCATTATATGACCTACTCCTCTTTGATATCAACAAAAAAACATAATAAAACTGATGTGTCTGTCAAGCCTCGTACACTTTATATCTAACACAGGCGTCACCAGCATGCAATGTTTTGCTAGACATCCTTCACAGACATTCAGAACTCTCACCTGAATTCCTGTCAAATGTAGGTCCACAATTTAATTCGCCACTAAATCGGCAGCAGCAGTCGTCTCTTGAGCAATAACGCAGTGCACAGGGCGCGCCTTCGCCCTCTACCAACTGATCCCTAACCGCGCTATAGCGTTACCGCTGTCTCGCTATACCGTTACCGTCACGAGCCAACGATGTCTTCCCCATGTGCTTCCAGTCTAGCCTGGCATACAGACCCTGAAACAAATATATTACAATACAGCCCATGTCTATAATGTTTGGCAAGTCTAGATCGTTGCAGTACCTGAAAATGAATAAAGTCTCTGGGCCCCTTTTTATTATATTTTATAACTATAGTTAACCAACTGTTTTTCTTCTGTAACATATGTTCATTTCAGAGACTAGATGTTAGCCTGCCTACAGCTATATTATGTCTACAGTATGTAATACACGGGTGAACATGACTGTGACCTGTTTCATTTGTGGTATAAGATGAAGTTGTGCATATTGAGACAACAAAACAGTGTCAGCACATTCAGTGATATATCCAAGGTCTGCAAACTAAGCTGAGCGAGCCTCAAAATGGTCCTCTTGTGTGTTTGTGACAGGAGTGAGTGAGTGTTGGTTTACGCCGCTTTTAGCAATATTCCAGCAATATCACAGCGGGGGACACCAGAAATGGGCTACACATATTGTACCCATGTCGAGAATTGAACCCGGGTCTTCGGCGTAGCCAGCGAACGCTTTAACCACAAGGCTACCAGACCGCCCCGTTTGTGACAGGACACTTGATAACATCGCCTCATGTAAACATTTGGATGCCTGTGCAGGTCATTTCGTTGGAGTATGTCCCTAGTGTAAAGATGGATATTTGATAGTTTACAGCTGATCAATGTAAAGAATATAGTTTAATTTTGACACTCAGACTTCGAAAGTAGCACTCGTGAGCATAAATGAGATACATTTGCTGTTTTGTTTTATATTAGAGCTATTGTTTTATTGTTACAATGCTTGTCGTAAGAGGCGAATAACGGGATCGGGTGGTCAAGCTCACTGACTAGGTTGATGCATGTCATCGATCCCAACTGCGTGGATCGATGCTCATCTTGTCAACCACTGGATTGTCTGGTCCAAACTCGATTACTTACAGACCGCCGTCATATAGCTGGTATATTGCAGAGTGCGGCGTTAGACGAGATATACTTATCATTAGGGTTTTTTAAAATAGAAATAAAACAATAGAAAGTGTAGATAAGATAAGTTAGATAATATTCATTGCAATAATTCCGTTGAAAGCAGGTGCAATGTAATCAAATGCATATGCATATGAATCAACTCAAATTTATGAAGAGAACATTGTATGAGCATTTACAAGAAAACAATCTCATAATTATTATGAGGCTAACACTTCAAACTAGTTGATCAATTCATCATTAATTGTATAAAATATGTAATTATGACACAAAAAGTTCAATACACATATGAACCATAGAAACTTTACAAGTTATTACAAAAACAATTAGTAAGTTACTGAGAATGGTTTTACGCCGCTTTTAGCAATATTCCAGCAATATCACGGCGGGGGACACCAGAAATGGGCTTCACACATTGTACCCAACAAAAGCAATTAACCACAAAACATTTCATCCTAAAAGCATGACTCTACTGTACAATATCTATATCTGATAAGGACCAGGTGATATAAGAAGTCATGAATCTTGAAATGTTTAGACTTTCAAATCCGACCAATTTATTTTCATTGGTATAGAAACTGTTACATGTCACTATAAACAAATATATATGAAATTCACATGAAATCATAAGTACATGAAGAAAATCCACAAAGTGTACTAAGTCAATTGCTTTCCCCTGAATAGGGTAGTCTTCACAAATGCATATCTCTAAGATGCTATGCTTAAAGATCAAGGACGCGGACTGTACGTTGTCCCGCGACATAAGATAGCTACGCGATGAATCGCAAACAACTATGAAGAACGAAGCATGGTTTATTTCCCGAGAAACATTGTTTTATCATGACGTCATTTCAGATGATTCGAACATGCGCTTGAAACTTGATGACGTGAATTGGACGACCTTATTTTTGTCGTTGTCGAATTCTATTCAGGAAATCATCATTATTAAAATCAGGGTAAATATTTTTACAGCTGGTACATTTTATCCACAACCTCATAGAGGCTGTACGCTTTTTTTCTTAATTTTTTAGTCATCAAATTTTACATTTCAATATCATACATGGAGTGTGTATGGATTTATAGTGACATTATTGGCATGTTTGTAGCATGGACAGATCAAATATCATAGTTATACAGAGTCTCTAAATAGTACATGAAGAGAAGACCAGAAGGCCTGGGAACTTGCATAATAACAATTTTGAATATACAATACATTTTGTAATTTCATAATATTGAAGTATTTCTTTTTGAAATAGTAAAAAGATTGGTCTGTACGTAATGTTGATGTTTCATGTGGAATATTTCTGAGTGCGGCGTTAAATAACAAACAAACAAATCATATAAACAAAATACTCGTGGTCGTTGTTTATTGTACCATAAAACACTTCGCCTCTCATGGTTTATTCTCTCTGCAGTGTGTAAGTTATACCTACAGAACTTGGGACATAATACTTCACATTATATGACACTTTTCAAGCATATGACACCCTTAATTATCACATTGTGAATCAACTCATGTCTATGGTAGACCAATGAAGATGTTCCTTGTCTTCCATCAGTGAGTGAATGAGTGAGTTGGGTTTAACGCCGCTGTTAACAGTATTCCAGATATATCACAGCGTGTCAGCTAAATGTGAGAGGAACGCCCACAATCATAGGTTTCTGGCGTGCCCAAGGGAAGCAATTCTGCACAGCGAATCGCGGCGCCTTAAGGGGCATTCACACGGTACGACTAGTGGTATACAACTTGTTGTATGCAATTAGTTGCACAAACTAAAGTTGTATACAACTCGGCATTCACACGGCGGCGAGTTGCATACAACTCGGGTCTCGCGAGATCTCTGACAAAAAGCTTGTGATTGACTTCACTATCGCTGGAATCTTGGTTGCCGAGTTTATGTTCAGACGCATTGCTTTGAAAAATCAACGCTGTGCGAGAATTGCGGTCGCGCGGTACTGGACCAACCTCTGACTTTGCAATTTAACGGACTTGTATAATATTGAATTTTTAACCCCATGATGGAAAATTAAATGTATAACGTGACACATTCGATACGAAAACGTACTTGTTTTGTGTCGAAAACAAATTTTCCGTTACATGACGTCAAAACACGAGGGCGATGCCCACATGTACAAAGACAAAAAAAACCACGCAATTCCTAGTCATTGCCAAACACAGTATCCGTCATGTCCGTGGTGAGCATCTGCTTTGGCTCAGGACAATATATTCTAGTATCTTTTTGTTTATGTGTATCTACAAAGTTCCCACACAGCTATCGATTTTAATAACCACATCGGTTCCTTTTCTGGGACATTGAATGATTGTCATCCAAAATGTCCTGAAGACATATTTCAGATTTTGTTATAATATAGAAGAATGAACTATAAAAATCCTGAAAGTGCCCTTTGGCCAGTTGAAATCAGATACCTTAGCTTATTTCCCAATTTATAAGAAACGTTGGAATCGGTAACACAAAAAAGTAACAGTATATTACCAATTATATTCGGGTATAGTATGGAAAATTTCGATTAAAAGAACAGAATGTTGGGCTTATCACTACAACAGCTCCACAACCCCTCCACCCCCCAGCAACGCACACCCAAACCCCAACAGACCATGACCCACCTCCACCCATGAATCTCAAATGGTCGGCCCCTATTTTGAAACGCGCACCTGATGCAATCTTTAGCTGTCAATGTTCCGCCAATTAAACGTTAAAATCCAAATGTAAGACAAGTAGTTGTCCACACTTGAGTTATACATTAATAAAAATATAACGTGGCGAATTTCCTTCAGGTATACATTTACTTTAACTTAAGAAATGAAGTGCCTGTTTTATTTAACCTATCTATATAAATTTGCCACAATTAATATTTAACAATTCTCCAAAGGAAATATGTATATGCTGCAGTGTGTTACATTTACAAAGCATCTGATGGGAAGGATAACACGATGAATGTCTATGACCAAACAAACAGCTGATTATTATGAGTTTTATAAATTCTATTGCATTTTAGATTATATTAATAACAGTACTGCATACAGTGCATTATTTTGCTGGGTGAAACGATATTGAAGAGATATTCAAATTTTAATTCAAGATTGAAACAGTAAACTACTTCATGAACTGAATGCGTTGTGTACTAGTTCACCCGCACCTCAAAGAAAATAACAAATATGTACAACGATGTTGATGCTGACGTATACTAATATGACATCACTACCGGTAACCTCCCGTCATAACTTAGCGAGTTCACTGATAGCAGTACGCGGAATGTTTGGAGTAGTTTTACCGTGTAACTGGGATCACAAACATACATAAATGAGTCATGTAAGTTAAATAATCAGAATCAATCTGAAATCAACAAGTTCTGCTTGTTGTTATGTTTCCATTCTCGCCTTGATACTACGTGGAAAGGCAGACCAATACCGTCGTCAGTGTGCGTGATTTTGCGTCAATCATGGCGGCACGTTGAACGATTTCTGTTGACTTTTTCCAAATAAGTATCTTGACTCTAATTATTAATTCCTCAATTCTTGCAACGATTATCGACCCATGCATATTCGTAATAAACTGAGCTAATATATGCAACAAATTGACGACCGAATCTCTCGGAATAGTAAAATGTCAAGTAAAACTAGAAGTTTGCTTTGTTTACATTTTTAAATGAGAAGGCCCACTGGTAGGTTTCAGAGCGCAGGGTTTGGTTTCACACTTGAATATTGCGGTTGATTTCATTTGGACCGTTTGTATTAGTGACTTAGACAAAATGTCAATTGATTGTTAATGGTATGATGAATTCAGAGATGTATGTATGGTAGCTGAGTGTGAAATACATGTGATGTGACAGGCATCTCGCCTGACGCGAAAAGAACCGTGATTTTGCAACGCTATCCAACATGGAGGTTCGGTCCAGAGTTTTTATATTTCGAAAACAAATATATAGGGTTATTGGAGTCTTTTCGGAATGCAGATTGGTGTTTTGACAAAGAGCAGACACCCAATGGTTTTGTAATGGAACTTCTCATGTAGCTATACGTTATTTGAATAAATAATCACATTTAGAACAGTGAATTGGTAAAATGCGAAAATGGCATTTTTTTCGTTGTACACTATTTTCAGATGTCGTTAGTGATACATATGCTTTGGCTAAAATAGTTGTTAATGGCATCATATTATAGATACTTTCCCACAGAATCTAAAACTGTGACGTGTATTTGTGTGTATGATGTATTTTAAGTTTTAGAAACGTATTATGGACCTTATTTCATCTTGGTCTACACTACAGCGAACAGTCACATAGCCATCGTCGTTTCAGATAACACCATGAACAGTTAACCAGGAGAATTAGATCGATGCAAATGTCAAAATATATAATTTGGTACAGTGGTATTCTACGTACCTACTTTTCATAGGTCCTTTATTGAGTGGTGACACTTAGGATACCGAAAACAGAGGTTACCGACGTGAATCGGAGTCGCCATTTTTGTTTACAAATTGACGTGTAAATGTCACATGATTTTCATACGCGTTTTGATTGGCTGCGTTCATACAACTTGTCGCATGAAAATAGAGCATGTCCTATTTGGTACAACTCGCGTCCAACAAGTTGCATACGTCAAAAGTTGGACCGACTTGCCCGTTCACACGATGCAATGTGTTGCATGCAACAAATTGTATACAACTAGTTGTACCGTGTGAATGCCCCTTTAGTCGACTGGGCCAAAAACTACATGACTTTGGTCATTTCATCTAGAAAGATTTCTTGAAGATCATCAGGTATCGAACTACAACAGAAAGCATGTGGTCGTGCAATATTATCTTTAATCGCAGATTGCAAACATCCCTGCTGTGATTTGCCGAGGTCAGTTGCTGATTCGCACCCAGTGTTTAAGGAATGAGTGTGTTTCTTTGTGGTTCGTTCCACCGATGACAGTGTTTCGCAATTTGTTATATATTTTGAGAAATGCAGTTAAAATGACTTTATTCTTTCCCAGTCTGCCCCTGTTAACTTGTACTTATAACAAACGTAGAGACCTGGAATTCTTTCATCTGGAAGTACCGAATCTAACAAGAAATCCTCCAAAGTTGCATCCCTTAATTTGGTACCTGCAACAGCGTCATGTATAACTGAAAGCGATACGTCATGGGGTTGTTTTCTTTAAACACATTATCAGGTCTGACTACTTTCCTGCTATATTAGGGGCGGTCGGGTAGCCTAGTGGTTAAAGCGTTCGCTCGTCACCCCGAAGACCAGGGTTCCATTCCAGACATGGGTAAAATGTGTGAAGCCCGTTTCTGGTGTCCCCCTCCGTGATATTGCTGGAATATTGCTAAAAGCGGCGTAAAACCATACTCACTCACTCCTGCTATCGTTTAGCAGTCCCCCCCCCCCCCCCCCCCGTTAGGAATGCCTGGGAGCATGCCATGCAGATACTTTCGATGTACAGTTTGTTCACTGTAGGAAATGTAATAGATAGTTTGTGTATGGAAGAGTTTCTATTTTGCTGTTTTGCCCAAATTATTCTTGAAAGTTAAGTTGAAGGTACTGTATTATATGAATCCGACGAATTATATATCAAGGAATCTTTCGTGCAAATGAACCACAGAACCTGAGTGAGTGAGTGAGTGAGTTTGGTTTTACGCCGCTTTTAGCAATATTCAAGCAATATCACGGCGGGGGACACCAGAAATGGGCTTCACACATTGTACCCATGTCGGGAATCGAACCCGGGTCTTCGGCGCGACGAGCGAACGCTTTAACCACTAGGCTACCCGACCGCCCCTCTACAAAACCTGAACTTTTACAGGTTTCTAAGAGCATCGGGCCTTTTGTCATAACCAGTGATATAGTTTTATTTCTTTAGGCTGGAGAAATACCTTTGTTTCAAACTGTGGCATGTAAATACATGTGAAAGGTTAATAAGTTTTGAACTTCCAAAATGAATGATATGTCTTATACAACACAATATTCCTGACAACTAAATGCGAGGTGAATGTTTGCATGGTATTATTGTTATATCTATAAGCACTTAACAATGTTCTGAACTTTGTCCGGGGACAAAAGCTATTTGAACTAAATGCATTCATATTCACAAAAGAAATATAATTATTGACAAACTAAGAACAATAGATATCAAGATCAATATGCTGAAAACTCATAAAATAGAATATGCTTTGTCCATTATAACTGTTATTCATTTATTATACATATAAAGAAGCATACAAAACGTACATGACTAAACAGTCCATTTGGTCAAACAAAACCCTCTCTCAGTGTAAAATTATGAACTGAGATTATTTATGGCTGTGCCCTTGACGGGGGCTGAAGTTTCAGTTCCTTTGTTGTTTAACGCGGCACTCAGCAATATTCCAGCTATATGACGGCGGTCTGTAAATAATCGAGTCCAGACCAGACAATCCAGTGATTGACATCAAACGCATATAATAGCGAGCAGGTGAAGGGATGGTGTAAATCCTGCTGGGGAACCGTGCAGGTAGCAGAAGTATCGTAAGTCCCCACGATCTCTAGGCACGATGGCCTAACCTTTTGGTTGCTGGCAATCTGTGGCCTTTTTTAATATTGTGTTGTTTACTGATAGTTTCTTCTCTTACATGTCCTTAAACGCTCACTCACTCAAGCTGGAAACATGTCAGCATAAACGGCATGGCTTTCAGCTGGACTGTGTAGAGTTGCGTCCCTTGGGCACGCCAGAAACCTATGATTGTGGGTTCGAATCCCGGTTCGCCCCGATTATCTGTCTAGGTTTGTCAGCACCATACCCGTGCTCGTGGGTTAACGTCTGAGACCTGCATCACTTCGGGCTTTCCTCCCACATTAAGCTGACACGCCGTGATATACCTGGAATACTGTTAAAAGCGGCGTTAAACCCATCTCACTCACTCACTCACTCACTCACTCACTCAGCTGGACTGCACTTCAGCTGCCAGCGTGCGCCACGGTAACGGTATAGCAAGACAGCAGTAGCGCTGTAGTGGGGTAATTGAGCGTTTGGACAAAGGGCAAAGCTGCGCCCGGTAAACTGCATGTTTTGGATCATCATTTAAGCCACATAGCGACGAGAACATAACATTGAATCATGAATACACAGTTATATTTGGAGCTGACCTCATTATTGGTTGGAGTGATTGACCTGTTTTTACCGCGCTAGCGGGGGTATCGACCGTTCCCGACATCACTACTGTGCTATATATTTAAATGATTGCCCTATTTTTTACCGCGGTAGCGAGCGTAACGACCGCTCCCGACATCACAACTGTGGTATATATTTAAACAAGAAAACATTGATGCAGAGCATCAAAGTTCCCCGCCATATGTGATGCCTCACAAACGCATAATTATGATGCTACTGAAAGGCATGATGGAGCATAATTATATTAACCACAAATAACACAACGCTGTTGTGGGATTTTTTTTAAAAAAATTTGAGTATTGGGCAATACAGTTGATACATGTGCATAAGGTAGGTCTATTGAAAAATAGTTTCTTGTTTAACGCCGCACTCAACAGTATTCAAGCCATATAACGGCGTGAGTCTGGACCAGATAATCCAGTGATTGACACCAGAGACCATTTAATAGATACATTATATGGTCTCTGTTGACACCAAGAGCATCGAACTACGCAATTGGAATACGATGGTATGCATCGACCAAATCGGCGAGCCTGACCACCCGATCCTGTTCGTCGCCTCTTAGGCAAGCATCCATGGGTTTATTTAAAAAGTAGATCGAAGGAAATGGAAGCAATTTCTGGCACAAATGTAAACATTTTGAAATAGTATCAAAACTGCCAACAACATTGGCAGATGCACATACTCAAATAATAGATCACATTCTTTTACACTTGGCATTTGGTTATAAAAATGTAAATGAAAATACTAAGGGCTCCATATGGCAAAAAAAAGGTCTTTTTATCACAACCACAGATGCACATACTCAAAATATTATCACGTAGTTGGAGAATATTCAATCCCGGGACTAATCAATAACGGAGATTCCTCGTCTCTTGTTTTACGTATTTTGGTCAATTTCTTTTTTGTATTTCTTTCTTTCAAAGAATAGCAATTGTGATCATGATGAGTTGAGTAACTTGGTTTTTTTCTATGTACTGTTTTTTATCCAGTGTCAGTAACTGTTGTGGAATGTGGTTTACTTGTAACAATTACCGGTTTGAGTTCATATGATGATGATTGATTGGTTTGTCGTTTAACGCCGCACTCAGCAATATTCCAGCTATATGACGGCGTTCTGTAAATAATCGAGTCTGGACCAGACAATCCAGTGATTAATATCATGAGCATCGATCCACGCGATTGGGATCGATGCCATGCATCAACGAAAGCCGTTTGTCGCCTCTTACGACAAGCATAGTCGCCTGATAAGATGTAACATAACAATTTATCCATACTACTAAACAGAAGTAAATCTGCTTGTCCATTCGGATAAGTCTGACCCAAACCATTCCGCTGATGAGAGTCAAATAATGCAAACGAATCAAAATCCGTAAAAATTGCAATAGAGACATCATTAAAAGTTACCAAAAGTGACTGGGATATCAGTATTCCTTGTTTAAATGATTCTATGAAATTTGTTTTCCCTGCTTCAATATTTGGAGCACCTGTGACGGGGCCATAAAACTGACCTAAATACCCCTCATAGCCTTCGCTGTAAACTATGTGACTGTAGAGAGCTGTGCCTTCAAACAGATTATCGAGGTCAGTGGAACACGGTACAGACGCAAACAGATTTGAGCCATGGGACACAAAATATATGATCGCGACCAGAGCTACGGCTGTACATTGAATTCCATTAAACGTTTGAAAAATACTACAGCCTTGATGCAAATTCGCCGACACACTACTCCGATTTTGCTTTGACTTAGCTACCAAACGTTTCACATGTGGCTATGTGCGGTGCAATTAATAGAAAAAACACGGGGGACTGGGTTAATTCAAAATACGGAATATAACTATTCCAAATATTTCCAGTGAACATGAGCATCCAAGCAATAAAAAATGTGGTATGTAGAATGTGGAATTGAGACATATTAGATTTAAATTGAGAAGTCGTCGTTGTTCATGAATAAGCATATTCAGAACATAGTTTATATTATGCTGTTATTTACGATTTCCGGAGTACAGTTCTTCTTTTGTATGCACCGTGAAAATCAGAAAATTCGTCCTTGAGGAACAAAGGACATCGGATTACACATGAATGGTTTAATAATGTCAGCTAATGACCAGAAACGGTCAGATGCATCAATTAACTACATAAAGACGATTTTGAAGTATTTCTTATTGCTGGAAAAGAATTGCATCAACATTCCACGCACATGATTGTATGTTTTGTTTCCGTAAATGCGTGGCTTGAAATTTCAAATAAACCAACATGTCGACATACATGCTACAAATTTAACGTTTCCCGTATACTTGGAAATGAAGTCCTATACTAAACTCTTTCAATTTCTTAAAGAAGGAGGACACATTTGATATTGGATTAGTTTCGTTTGTTTGTGGTTTAACGCCGCACTAAGCAATATTCCAGCTATATGACGACGGTCTGTAAATAATCGAGTCTGGACCAGAATCAATCATCAATCATCAATCCAGTTAATGATATCATGAGCATCAATCTACGCAATTGGGATACGATGTCATGCATCAACCAAGTCAGCGAGCTTGACC